TGGCTATCTTCGCCCCAGCCTAACCATGGTTATAAGGAAAACGTGAATAAATAGGTAGAGAAATACGTCAAATTCAATATTTAAAAATTTAATATGTATCTGTATTGAACTTGTTACATACAGGTTGTATAAAGAGTATTTCAACTTAGTTCTTATGTTGATGTGACACAATAACCAATGTTTAATCGCCTTTACATTATTCTCAAATAAATATGTTTTGATGCATTTACAATTTTCATATCGAATTCGATTATGCTAAGAAAAATCCTCTAGTTGTGAAGTGTACAGATACAAACACTGGATTCCAACAAAACTGCTGTTTTTTTTTTAAATAAGTTGGTATGATAATATGCCATATCCACAGACTAACAATTTCAAGGTGGTCTTTCCTTCCAGCCAGCGATGGCGTTTTTCCGTTGTGACCACGACAGTGCCCACCGCCCAATATTTAACTGGTTACATTGGGGCGTTGCCTTTGTGGTGCAATTTATTTCAGGTAAAACGTACATATATATCTTACGGAAGTTTCACTAAAATGAATATGTTTTACAAACAAAAAAAATCATTGCAAAAGTTATATATCCGAAATAGCATTTTGATAAAACGATGTATGACTTACATTTCGCATACGTCATGAACATAACTTATTTCTTTCGTATATCATATTTCTATTTGAATACGAATGCTTTTATTTGCCAAAACAGTTAAATTATCTGTGATAAGCAGTATGCCCTTGTGAGAATAATGTCGCTTCTATCTATATTTAACATCATATTCCTGTCATACAAAGGTTTTCAAAATAATTATCTATATCTACCTCGGAAATATATTCATAGCTAAAATAATAATATTATGTTAACGCACATATATTACCGGTATCATAATTTTAGCGCTTTTGCGTGTTTTGAATTTTGCGCTAAAATATGATTGTGCTAATTGAATTTTCTGTATATAGTTTTCTGTTGCATATGTTTTGAGTGCACCATTTATTCAAGGCCCTAATCTGTTAAAATTCGATGATACGTTAAATAATTTGTCCGCTAAAATAAATACGTTTAAAGTACATATAATTTGCTTCCTTAATATATCCATATGATAATCACTGAGTAACTGATAGTTATATTGTAGGTTTCAACATTAGCTTTGGATTTCACCTGAACAAAGTGAACATGCCTGTTAATGATGCCCTGTTCGTCATGTATATGTACACGGGAACCTTCGTTAGCATGTATATCGTTTTCGAGATCACCAAGTGTGTAATGAAGCGAAACGCGGGTAAGTGAACATTATGTTTTGTTTCATAATCATGCCTTCTTTTAAACACCATTTTATATATGAACAATTCGTTTAGCTGATACAAGCACATTATTATTGAGATTGAAATGGTATCATCGTTGTTTAAATATACTAAAATTATTTAAGTGCTTCCAATAATTGAAGTCAAACAGTATGACGATATCAATTTTATTTACCAGTGTATCAGATATCAAAACGATTAATTTTAGGACACAAAAAATAAATATCTTAAAAATCTATTTTGTCACTTGAGTTTGTATAAGATAGATTTATGTATACTTTCAAAAACAAACATTTTAAGAAAAAAAACAACTAATCATGCTCTAGCATCTGAAATGTTTTTGATTATATCGTAGGGAAAAAGGATTTAACAGTACTACTTTTGTTTTCATTGGTATTATTTCAGTTTCGTTTTCTGCTAGCTGACTGTTTATAGTTAATACAATTGTATGAAATTTGTAAAATAATTGTGAAAATATAAGTTACGAATATACCATAAACGTGATAATACATGGATGCATTGTGTCATTTACATTAAACTACCGGCATCATTTGTCTGGCAATACCATTGTGTCATAAAGGGTTATGATAACAAAGTATATTGATCATATTGACTTTAGCAGGAAAACGAAAACAAAAATTTGAAGAAAAATGATGGTAAGCAAAGTAACAAATGAATCCAGAGGCATCATATCAAGGTATTGCTGTTAAAATAAATATATATGTTTGATGCTTGTCTTCTTCAGCACGATTGAGCAATGAAACAGATGAGTTTGCAGCTAATATTAGCTTAACCGATGAGGAGGAAGCCGGTACTGTAAGTGATCAGATATACGTAAACTATGTGCAAAATATGTGAGTCAATATTCGTATTTCAAAGTTTTGAAAATACTTCTAAAATATTCAAGCCGCCCTAATTATAATTGATGTGACTTTCTCACTAATGTGATAAATTACAAAAGCCAAGAATGGTACAGAGAATTCCTAAATATTAGATAGATTAACGACGCATTTATACGATGTTTCAACATTTTAGTCATATGCGCTATTGTTTGTTTTTCTTTTTCTTTACAGCCAAATTTTACCTGTTTCAAGATCATCTTCGGAGTTCACATTGTTGCAATGCTCTCCTATGGTACAACGTTGATTGTGTATCTGCTAGACGGGTAAAGTGATATTGCCGTCGAGAACCTAAGTAAGACTTTAATTGTGTGTCTGCTGACCGAGTAAAGTTATACCATTGTCTAAGACATTTATTTTGTAAGACTTTTCTAAAGTGACCACTCCGGCTCACATGTAGAACATTTTTACTGGGAGTTTGATAACTGGGTAACTTGATATTTACAACGAGCTCTTGCGTAAAACTTTTGATAATTGTCTGCTGAACAGGTAAACAGAACTTACACTCAGGAATAAATGTCTGCTGTTTGAAACAAAAGCTCTCAAGATCTCCTACTGGATCACTGGATCAACTGATATTGTTCTAGATATAGAACGAACTCTAAATCAATGTTTTATATATAACTTTTCACTTGGTGGTGTGATAAAATCCTCCAAATGCATAGTGATTTCATTTCGATTTTGATTTATCACAATAGCGAAATCATTAAAATGTCCGATGTTTGGCTTCCGATCAAGGTTTGTTTTGGACTAGCACAATGCTTTAAAGTTATGAAATAATATAAAGTGTATGGTCTTATGTATCTATCAAATATTTCGTTTGTCTATTTTCATGTTCCTAACGACTTTGTTATAAAGAAATTGATGCTTTTGTGAAACTATGAACGTGTGAACTATTCTACCTCGGTAAGCCGTGCCAAAATTAATACATAAAGGTTTATTGCAAAAATAAATCGTAAATAATAAAAGATGAGTCCGTGTACTTATCTGTGACAAGATACTATAACTTCCCGATTCAGGTCTGACGTTGATTTTTGGTTTTGTGTGATAGGCTAGTAATTCATCATTATCATTATACTGAGATAAATCATAATACCATCACTGTAATGGGGCAAACTGTAATAGATTACTAGGATTTCTCAAAACCGGCCATGCGTAGGAATTAAACATATGAATGGTTTTAGAAGGTTTCGGTTTGGAGAAGTGAATGTAGTTGACCAAGACCCCTGTATGAAGCCAGGGTAAAATTAATGTTTTATTCAAGTCCTTTTTCGATGTAAGACTACAACGACTTTGTATGTTCATGAAACAAGTTTCTTTTGTCAAAAATAGTCAGAATTCTTAACTTAAAATGGAAGTTCGGATTATAAATATCAGAGAACAGTATACAGTTATACTCGACAAATAATGGGAATACGAAAAAAAGTTTGTGTGCGACTTGTAACTAATATCATGATAAGTTGTCATAAAAGTCAAAGCAGAATGGCCAGTGGTCTGGTGTTTTGAGTTTTTATATTATCAAAAGGGATTTTATTGTTAGATAAATAGAAAATTTCATTAAAAAGACTATTTAACCTATGAAACATTTGGAATCGACGTTGTAAGATTTTGATATATTTTCTTTGCTTCTTACAAAATATGATTTGTTTGATTTTTACATTTTAATTTCTTTGAACTTTTGTTTTTTTGTGAGTATGTGAGTATAACTGTGACAGAAGTGTAAAATTCTAATTATATAAAACTTGCATACAAGCATACATATTGAATATGAGGTGAGAGCAAATATACATATCCCTTGAACGGGGAAAAAATACAATAAAAAGTATTCAAATTCCTGGGTACTCTTATTTTTGTGTTCATGAAATGTCTACAAAGTTATTATGAAGATAAGCATATTTGTCAATTTTCTTCGACATTCAGGAAAAAAAGATGCAAAAGAAATCTTAATTAAATGCTTTATTTATTCGCAAAAGCATTTTTAATTCAATTGGCATACATTGATATACAAAGTAACAATCTTGAACCAAACAATTCGATCTATTTATTGAGCTATTAGTTTCATAATTGTTTCTTGATATATTTAGAATACATACATTTGGGAACAGTAAACTATACATTTAGTGTATAAAAACTTTCGATACGTTGTTGCTAATTGTTAAACACATCGCTAAACATCATGTGCCTATATCATATGTTATTAACAACAATATTACTACTAAACCTCCTTGTTACTCAGAACACATTAACCATTTACTCAAGTTAGATTTATTTTAAAAGGATTTTTTTTTATATATGTTTTTGGTTCTGGTATCTCATCGCACCCGGTAATAATTTCGGAACCACCAGTAATCGAAGTGCCGGAAAAATAAAAGACAGCTGGACCATCATTAGTCAAAGTACGAACAATAATGCAAGATATGCGTTATTTGAATTAATGGAAGTCCCACTGTATGTCCAGGCTTAACAGATGAATAATTAATGAGTATGATGTGACAGTTTAAAGTCTCAAATAATAACAGATTATAACACCTTTACTACACGTATAACTTTGCTATAACTGTATCTGTTAAGCTTGTGGTAACCTGTTATAATGTACTGGAATATATAGTAATGCAATGAAAACTGGAGTTTAATTTAGCTGTAGCCAAAATGTTATTGAATATTTGGGTTTTTGGTTTGAGGTTTTGAAAAGTGCTGAAGAGGTAAGTGATTCTTCGACAAAACTGGGTTGAGATTCTACAAAATTCAAAATACGCCAAAGGTACCTTCAAAATATGATGCGAACATTTGTATAATTTCCGGAAAAAAAGTGAAGGAAGAACAAGATATTGACTGATGAAACAAGCAATAATACATATACGTATAATTTCTTTGAAGGATATGCATAACTTCGCACTACAATTTCAAGGAAAATGAGCAACTAAATATTGCATTACAATTTCCTTTCCTCTAAGCCTTTGGTTTATTAAGACCTAACCGTATGATTTATACACAAATATATAACGACCAATATTAAGTCAGAGTATATGAAACCTTACTAACTATATACTATATTGAGTGTATACAAATATCGGTAACTCGTATCTTGATAGATTTAATATGATCCGTGAAAAGTACATATGAGGCATATAAAAAAAATCCATGCAATTACGTGCCAAATGTTATAGGTGGGTATACGGTTTCTAATTTTCTGTATCTGTATATACGTAAAATGTTTATGGAAGATATGTATATGGTAATATGTATATATACTTGAAAATATGTACAATTGAATAAAAAATGATAACTGTGTGATACCGGAACATACATTTGAAATGATACTGGATGATAGTGTTATGATGTGCAAAAGGTGAAATTGGAAAAGTTAATTTGGCTTTAATGCATATCTTAGTATAAAAAAATACATCTAAAATATAGATAGGAATACGTTCATATTGCATATCCATATTTGGCATGTTATAAGATATATACTATTTGGTTATTTCATGATGACCGGAGTTATGACTTGATCCATTCAATTGTCTGTACAGTTATACAATGATGCACTTTATAACGACATAATGGATGTGTAAATAGGTATATGTATATGATAAAGATGGTGCTATTTGAAAATATGGCTACTGGAATAATCAGGCTATTATTGAATGGCCTATTGTATATAATTGAAATGAATATAAGATATAATAATTGTATTCGTCGAATATATGGTTGTATTGTGCGAATATTGAATATGATATCCACACAATGATATAGAGTGTGCTGAAACTGAATAAATACATAGATATGGTATATAAATTTTGGATATAACGGATTATTAATATATAGTTCGTGCTTATGGAATGCAAGAATATAATGTAGTTATACTGTATATTTATTCATAGCTAAACTAAGTACTTATTGAATATAAAGATGCTTGTATATTTTAGGGTATATTGAATATAATTTGTGTATTTTGAATTAACATTATGCTTATTGAATATAGGGTATATTTTGTGCAGATTAAATACAGTACACGTGTGCATGATATAGTTTGTCGAATACAAGGATGTGTAGATATGATGCATTGGGATATACAATAAAATACTTTTGTTCTCGGTGTATACTAGAGTACAGTATATGAATATTAAAGACAAGGGTGTATTTATATTATTTTCATGGTTATGAAGTGCATAAGTATGTAGTGCGAGTATAAGCGTGCTTATTGAATTTAAGTTCTTGGTAATGGCATATGTATGTATATATATATGGGGCAAAGAAGTAATTCCAACAGTGTG